ACTACCTGCAGCTAGCAGCTTTAGCAACCAACCACTGCTGAGGAACCAACACCGACTGCTTCTGCGTAAGCCGTCGCTGACTCAGACAAATGGACACCAATCTTGGCTGTGTAGGGTGAACATTGCTGTAAGCTAAACCACGAAGAGAATTTCCTCACGGCCCGGCACGAAGGCAAGCAACAAACGCGTGGGCGTAAAGCCGGTCCAAAACAAAATACTGCAGCTTGAGCAGCTAGGCAAAGCAAAGAAATGCCCATAAAAGGAGCATCACCGGAAGGAAACAAGCCACGTGCTCGCAAACGCGGTCTGATAAATAAAAACGTTCTCAACTCCATCAAAGAGACTCCAGCTGAAATGTTACTCCACGACTAAGTATCCCTTAACGGGACGGACCTTAGGGTGCTTGAAGAGGGTGAGTAAGAAAGAAGGCTGTTCTCTGCTGTTTGCAATGGCGGAAAACAAGACGACACATTCGAGGTTGGTCCTCTGAAAGTCATCCTTCAGAGTGATTAAAAACGCAAGGCGCATACTGAGGCACCACGTACCGCAACTGGATAAAGCTACTACGCTTTGAATGACCTCTGCCCAGAGGACCGAGTCCGAAGGAGGCAAACTGTCAGCTAGCTACGAACCAGACGAGCAACTGGGGAAACACATCTACCAATCGTTGCTTGGAGCAAATTAAGAAAAACAATGCGCACGACGGAGGCCAATCCCCTAGTCCCCGGATCACAAACGTGCGCAAATGACCACGGACTGGCGCTTTATTGCCTAACAGGTACCCTTCAGAACCACAGTGGGACCGGCGACTTCAACAGCAGTGCCTGTAAGGAAGTCGTCGTAGGTTTAAACCACACCGTATTCCATTAGCATTTGCTCGTTTACGGTGGACGCGCTTGTATTGTATGTCTTTGTATGGCCAGTCTTTGGGAAGCACCTGCCTGGTTTCCGAGGTGTAACTATTTGCGGTACAAACTTTGCACAAAAAGAGTGTTGCAGTTTTTCTTTGAAAGGGATTAACATCCTCCAGGATCGCTGTTAGTTCGCGATATGTCCCCTTCAGTATACGACATAACGGTACGGTGCTCCATCATGGCTGCAGAAACTAGAAGTAGGAAAACTTTTAACTCTGATGACAAATGACAACCAATGGGTCCACTTAATTTTCCGATGGTTGTCACTGCAAATATAACCAATTTCTAGGTATAAAAACATCTGCTAACGAACAAAAGTACACTCAGTTTACAAGCATCAGTTGGAGTCCCGTGTGTACCAGAGCATCGCAAACTCCGTCCGTTGGTTCGCCGTAGGCGTGTGGCACGGTCTGTATATAACGCCCTGCACTCTTGCTCCAAACTTCAACACCTGTGAACTGCAAGATGTAGGTAAACGGGTAGTTAACGAGCGTCAAGATCCGGTAGTGGACGAGTAAGCTACCGCCAGTAGCGTCCAAATAAAACAAATACTGGTGAAATATATGCTGAAATCGCGTTAAGCAGCTTTGGTAACCTATGAGAACTTTTATACATATAAAAAGCACTTTGATTTTTTAAAGCTTTGCTTTGCTGTTGTTTTGACGGACGGTTTAACGGAGAACATATAAGCGACACGCGCAGACCGAATATGGCCTAGTGGTTGGGTGCCGGATTGTCGGCCGTGTGGTTGGTGTACGAATCCTGGGTGCGCCGCCTTTTGTACTCGCTCCGGCGGTACCTACACTAATTTGGAACGCTAAAGCGAACATTGCCATGGTCATTGCGGGAAGATGACGCTCAAAATGCAAATCCTTAATATGGTTAGAGGATTGAAGCATTATAGGAAGGCGTCCAACGTCACCCTTGCAGCTTATTCTAGATTAGCATGGAACACCAGGCGTACAATTTTGTTGCATTAATTTAAAGCTTTAGTTGCTTGTCAAATTTTCTTTATTTCTTGCTCGTAAGCCACCATCAAGCTGCCACACAGCTTAACTAAGAAGGCACACACGGAATACGCAATTTCTGTTCCACATCTTCCGCGTTAAATGCTATAACGGGATGTTAGTGGTCACTTAGTGCATATTAGCGCGCATATACATGCAGTTAAGCGGAAGTCCGTGGTCGAACAATTTTAAGTTTGAATGCCAGCGCTCATTTCAAAGTTCGTGGGGTAGAAGAATTCGCCGCTACTGTTAATATCCTACTGGAATTAGAAGTTATAGCTTTTTGATTGGAAAAGGGAACAGAATAAAATATCGTTGTGTAGGGTTACCCAAAAGAGATTGTATACATCTCACCTTGCGGTGCTGGCGACCACGCATGTCTCGCAGTGAAGTGCGCCTTAGTCGTCAGACTAATGATAATCCCGATTTAGTTCCAAATGTATGGCGCGCGGACTTTCCGACAACAAAAGCCAAAGCCGCAAGGTCGCATTGTGTCATTTTGGAAAGTGACGACATTCAAACGACTTGGGACAGATTTAAATCATACTTGTTTGTGCTCTCTCTCCCCCACATACCACTATCTGGCAGGAATAAAACTAGAGCAAAGCCACCCTGGTTTGATTCGGCTGTACGCAAACAGCTCAACAGGAGTGCCAGATGTTGGCGTACTTACTTATCTGCTCCTTCATTATGCACCTTCAAGCGATATCGTGAGGTTCAACATGCCTGCAGGCAGTATCTACGATGTGCTCGTCTACAGCATGAAGTAGAACTTGCTCGTATAGCCTCATCAAACCCGAAACGCTTCTTTGATTATGTCAAAAGGCGAAGCAACTTGAATTCGTGCATCCCAGTGTATTTTGGCCCGCACGGCACTGCTGTTGTCACGGATCACGAAAAAGCTTGTTTTCTCGGAGAACAGCATGCTGGGGTATATGTTCGAGAGTCACAGCCGCATATCAGTCTCCAGGCAAAAGTTCCTGACGGCTCCCACTTGCGGGCGGTTTCTATAACCGCGGCTCAAGTGCTCCAGCTTCTGAGGCAATTAAATCCCAATAAAGCTGCCGGTGGGGATGCTATTCATCCCAAACTGTCGTACGAGTTGGCTGATGAACTTTACCGTCCGATTACGCAAATTTTGTGAAGTCTGTACGAGACTGCTCTCTACCCAAGGACTGGAAGGAGGCCATTGTTTGTCCCATTTTTAAGAAACTTGATAAGCACCTGCTTGATAACTATGACCAGTCAGTTTAACGAGCGTGCTGGTCAAGTTATTGGAAGAGCTCGTGAGGGACGCTCTCGAAGGACACTTGAAAGCGTTTGAGTTGCTTAATCCTTCGCAGCACGGTTTTCGTAAGGGCCATTCTTGCCTTAATAACTTGTTAAACGCTCGTGAACTCTGGGCCGAAACCGTTGATTGCGGGAAAGCATTGGACGTGCTGTTTATTGACTTTTCCAAAGCTTTTGACACCGTTCCACATTCGCGCCTTTTGTACAAGCTAAATTCCTGTGGTATTGCTGGACCAGTCTTACAATGGATTTAAGCTTTTCTAATCGGAAGGGGAATGTGTGTGCGGGTGGGTTCATGCCTGTCCTTCCGCCAATGTGGTCTCAGTGGCGTTCCGCAAAGTTCGGTTCTTGGCCCCCTTCTTTTCACTTTATACGTTAATGACCTACCTGATGAAGTGGGTGTGTCACCCCTAATGTTTGCCGATGACTTGAAACTGCTTCACGATAGACGAGCCGGTTGGTCCACTGACCCTACAGGAGGCTCTGGATAGACTTTGGGACTGGTCAATTTTGTGGCAGTTGCCAGTTAATTTAGCGAAATGTTCCGTTTTACGCGTTAGTCCGAATGACCCGCCGACGCGTTATTTGCTTGGCGGCAACGACGTACCGCGAGTTCAACTCCAATCTGATCTCGGTGTTTTGCTGTCATCTGACTTCAAGTCCAGTGAACACTGGACAACAGCTGCTCGCAAAGGTTTCAACATGTTGTGGATGATCCGCAGGTCATTCGCGATCATGAACACCGACATTTTCGTTAGACTATTTACAGCTTTTGTAAGGCCGCACTTGGAATACTGCGTCCAGGCTTGTCCTCCATGCCTGGTACGTGATAAGATGGCAGTTGAGCGAGTCCTGCGGTCCTGGACGAAAATGGTGCACGAATTAAACAAGCTGACGTACCCGGAGAGGCTACGTAAGTTGCATATGTTTTCCATGTATTACAGGCGGCTTCGGGGCGACTTGGTCCTCACATACAGTATATTGATGGGTCAGACTGGTCCTGATTTGACTGGACCGTTTCGCCCGACTCGACTGCCAACCCTTCGTGGCCACCCATTAAAGTTGCACAAACCCCGGTTTGACCGAGTTTGGGCGGTTTTCGGTTATCGCGTAGAGTTATAGCTTATTGGAACACATCGCCTGCAGACGTCGGGATGGCACCGACGGTGAGAGTTCGAGCATCGACTTGACGCTCTCGGTCTGCAGTTTAAAATCTTCCCCTTCATGTCTTAAACTTTTCTTCGTCTACGACGGCCTACGCTTCTTTAACTCATTTTGACTTGCAACTTAATATCGCCTACTAAATTCGATAAGCTCGTCTTCTCTGTTTTCTTTCCTTTACTGACACTACTGTTTTCTTGTATTCTTCACGTGGCCGGCATAGCGGGGACTGCTAGTGCAGGGCACGTGGGCACTGTTTGGTTGACCATGTGAATCGTGTGTGTTGATTTGGCTCTCCTTTGGCAAATCAGGGCACCAGTTTCCCTGTTGGATCAAGGACGTTTTTGAAGGTGGAACATTCGAGGAATTTTCCTGCTGTTCCGGTCCCACTTGAACTTGAACGTGGCTTGAAGGTAAAATATAGTAGTCAGTTCATCTGTAAAATGCTTTTAATTATAAACCCTTGTGCTTTGCAGGCATTCGAATTTATACTTTGCATTTAGGTACAAATTAATGTCTTACAGAAGTAAAATATGTTTGTTTAAACTTATTAAATAAGTCTTTATTGTAAACTATAGTTATGGAACGCATTTAGTTTACAGTAACAGAGTCCAGAGACTGAAAAACAATGCTACAAAAAAGCTGCTCTATACTAGAGAATATAAACTGCCAGTTAGACTTATTGTTAACCCGTGCTTCAAAAAACGCGTCCGTTGAGTCGAAAACGTAGGTCGATTCTGCACAATTAATCGCTCCTTATATATTCAGAGTACTCGAAATATTTCCGATTTTAGAATCTTACAGTACCAGCGTGTACACACAAATTTTTGAAAGCATTACGCGACTGATTAGAGACAAACACCATGTAACTGCTTAAAGTTTCTAAACCGTAGGAGTCTTACGCGGTTTATTCAGCCACGCTAACTTATTTGTTGGAAATGCTTAGTAGGAAAAGGTTCACGAAGACGGTAGACCAAAGCACTTACGTGATTATGTTTCTAGGATAATCTGGTGCTATTAAGGAATATTTGTGATTATCTTGGCCTACTGAAAATGCAGAGAAGATATAAATCCATGACCATTTTAAACGACATGGATGGTGATTTAAAGAGCTTAAAGAATTCACTCCTTAAAAGTTTTACTGATGAAGTGTGCCAAAACAGACTTACGGAAAGTAGCTTAGTTGCTGGTTTCTAATATCCACCCTAGATCTGTTTCTTTTGCAGCATGCCGCTTGGTGTGCTTATGGATCTGCCTTTATTGAATCGGTAAGCTAGTTAAACAAATTGATGCGACAACCATGAAGTTTTACGAGCTTTTGCCTTTGATACAGACGTTTCTTGCAAAAGACACTTTTTTGTTCCATTCAAAATGCCTTCGCTTCTCTACGGCCTTTACTATATGCATTCTGAAGTCCATGTTCTATCTGGGTTCATCCGCTACCAGCGAGGTAAGTATATCTGTTAAACGATAAAGGCGTAAGCCATTTATCACTTTTATTCTATCCAGACAATTATGTATGCTTATGTTTCACCTTGCGCTGTACATAAATTTTTTGTAAGGCTCACGCTCTCTGAAGTAATATATTTTTGTGTCTCACAAACAGAACATAGCCTTTTATTCTGCACTGGCTGACAAGACGGTCTGCTGCTGTCATGATATTTGATGGGGTACATTCTCTATAACTATGCGCCATGATCTCCCAGATCCAATGAACTTCAACACCAACTAACGCAAATTATTAAAACAGGCACTAAATAGTAGTTATGAAGAAGCACGCATAGAAACGCAACCAAATGGCTAGGTTCCGTTTAATGTAACGCTTATACTTGACAAGCTTCACTTATATGAATGTGGTTCAAAGATATTCATGATTTGTCTTATTCAGTTGGTGGTGGGTAGACACAACTAGCAATGTATGATTGCTACTCTAAGGACGAACTAGCCGGCGTTTAGGGGGATGTTTCATTATGTGCTGTGTTGTTATTGTTTTTAAGAGGACCTTATTAGTATCGCTTTAATCTTGATCATATACGTCCATAAAGAACAGCACCTTGCCATGTCGAGCGTAAGATTGTATTTAACAATAATTACCTAATCACAGTGCTTGCTTATATGCCTGAGCTGAGAAGCAGAACGGTGTTGGTTTAAAAAGGCATTTCAGCCGCACGACCTTGTCATAACTGTGCTTCTTTATTGTGTTCTGCAGTATTTTAGCACTTTGAAAGCATTTTCTTATAATGATATTGACCCGACTTTTGTCTTCTTCCATACGTATGTGTTTTAAGTAGCTGAATTGGTGCTTAAACAAAACCAAATAGATCGTTACAAGGAAATAAGTAAGTGCATGTTGTGTGTATGGCCTTGCGATCATCCAAGAATATGATACAAATGGAACGTAAACAAAGCTGCGGCAAAGGCTAATAACGCAGTAACGTAAAAACATTGATTTGGAGTATTAACTAACCCGTTTTGTCTTTGTCACTTATGTGACAACGTCCAGAGCACTTCAACCATGCAATACAAACACATACCTATTCGCAAAAGTACGCATCTCTACACTTTTGAAATTCTTGGCATTCTTGTGACGAATCTGCTGTTCAGCTCTCAAATATGTATGGATTCTAAATGACAACTCGGATGTACCTTCCCATTCCATCTATATAACACAAGTACTTGTTCATTTGAAACCATAGCTCATTGTTTAAAAAAGCAGGGATAGAATCTAGGAGGAGTAGACAGCTGATCGCCGCGAAAGTTCATAGTTTTGAACCTGTCAGCCGCACGCAATAGGGTTACTATTGGTTTGTCTTATCGGCAAATGATCAACATATCCTTAATTAATTTGCAAAGTGGTAAATCACTGTAACATAAATGACCACTATTGTACACCTCAAGGCATACCGCATTACCACAAAACGTTTAACCTGTAGAACATTTCTAGCAACGTGGTTGCACAAGTGCTAAAAGAATAATGGTCATTTAAAACCAAACAACTAGTGAAACTGCGTTGTCTTCCTTAAATTTAACCAACCAAAATTGCAACCCACGTGACGGAAATCGTATTCTATCTAAAAGGAGTACATTAATCTTCAAATGACAAGGATTTTGCACTAAAATTAGACCATGGCAACCAAAAACTGCCAAAACAGGTGAGCAGTTAAAGGAACCCAATACGTCAACTATAATCAAAGCTGTCTAATGCGACCACCCAGGGGACAGGGAAAAGTGGTCGCATCAGAGAAGTGGTTGCCATAGGCAGGTTCATGCCCAGGGACATTACTCATAGGAAAAAATATTGGGGATATTTTTGATTGGTCACCATGGGCAGCTCCTTGTTAAGGCAAGTTGAACTGTGTAAATAATGTTCTGGAGTAAATTAAAATTTGTAAAACCACAGAATTTTAATTATAAATGACATTTTGATAACATGTAGTTCGAGTACACACCTACAACTTGCGGTGTATTTTTCAGCAAAACCACAATCTTTTTAAATTTGTATATTAAGCATACAAAATTTGAGTTTGTTTTTTTCAAAACTCAACTACTTAAGATGCAGAAGCAACTTGTCTGGTGATCAGCTCTTATCAATCATGGACACAAACGGTAGAATTTTTCTGTACCCAACCTTTGAGTAGTTCGGGCATTCGTTTACACTGGTGTTCTTGTTTGAATCATTGTAAACGTTAGCATTAAGCTAAATACCAGTAAAACAGTATAACAGAATGAGCAAAGGCCTACATTTGGTTACACGAGGAACAACATATTATGCTCCTACAAACCTAACGTCTGAGGTAAACGGTATAATTCACCTTGAACACAGAGCCCGTTTATTTCTGTTATGGCCATAAATTCAAGATAAATCTGAGTGACTGATTGCGTTTGTTTGCTATCCCATTAAGGTTGGTTGGTCTGTTAGTAAGTCTGATTAATGCTGAGAAATTAGATGCATTAGACTTTTAGCCGAACCAAAACCAGGATACAATACCCGCCAGTATTCCAGGTTATGGGTAGAACATGTAACGCACTTGCTTATTGGGATCCGCTTGGTCGTGTGATGATTTTTATTTCACCAGTGTGCTGGCTTGTAAAATGTTTGCATTTGAAATGTCGTAAACAAAAAGTTTGATAGTAACAGTTTCTAATTTGAGCATTGGATTGCAATTTATCAGTTTTACACTGACAGAAAATGACGAATGTTCGCACGGTGCCTTATAAGCGGATACTGCGAAATGTGGTTTATTTTATTTTGGGAACGTTCTCAAGTAAGCTGCTATCATAAGTTGGAGATCGTTCTCAGCTTTGGTACTTAATAACTTGTTTCATCAGTGTCCCGACAAAAGTTTCGCTATACAAAATATCCGTTCTATATTTTGCTATCTATACGCTATGCCAACAGTGTCACAAAAGTCATAAAGTACGAAAGACCATTTTTATTGTTGACAACTGCTGCTATGTTTAAACTCCACAAAATAAATAAGTGCAATGTTTGTGCATATAAAATCAACTGTTCCCCTACAAAATAGCGTGACACATGGTTAGACAAGTCCTCAACAAATAATTCAAAAAGCAGTTACTTGAAATGTTGGAGCCCCAAAGATTCCAATAAGTTTGGAATTGTAAGCATTTATATAGATTAGGCAGCTTGGAATCTCTAGTCTCGTATTCTGCTAAATTACTTTTATGAGCAGGCCAAAAATCAACTAGTGCGGACTATAAGTTTTATAGCTAATTTCATTGTAATTATTTGCATGGTCTCTAAAAGTCAAGTTTTGACAAATGTTTACTCACTCGACACATAAATACCCATTCACAAATGGAGGAAACTCCCTTGCTTACTTATAGTGTAGGACTAGTTAATACTAGTCCGAGATGATGCGCGGAATTCAGCGCTGATATCAGAAGGCAATTGGAGTCGGACACAGCGGACTGTATTCGATGGACTACAACAAGAAGCGGACGGATGAAGCGAGACAAGAGCGTACACGTGAGCGCGGGGACTTACAAGGCAGTTGTGTGTCGAGCCGGTTGTAAGATTAAAACAAGAAGGAGTAATGTACAATCGGTCAACAAGTAAATTGTACACGAAAGATAAGAGTTATCTTTTTGGGCGCTACAAGAGTAACCTTTCAGTAAATATATATTTAGTAGTGTGTGTGCCTTTACGTCCTGAGGGCCTTGAGGGCAGTTTTACATTATGAGCTTTAGTTGTAACGATTAAAGCAGCAGCTGATGCTACTGCCCAATCGGACACACCAGATGCCTAACTCCGACCTATACGCGTTGGATATAAAACGTGAGTTAAGTTAAAACTTCACATTAAATGTTGCATACTTAGATTACTTTGGACCGGAAAAACTATTTTTCGTTTAAGTTCATTTAATGCACTCTAGTGTAAGATAGTATGCTGCACACACAATTAGATTCTTCTCGAATGCGAAAAAAACACTACGCTAAACTTTGGATTATTCTAGGCCTGAACTGGACGGTAGCCGCGTGTTCATCGGGAAGCTTTACAGACACATTACTCCAAGAAGAACTAAAATACGTATAACCAGTAGCAGCATATAATCATTGCACAAAAACGGTGGCAAAATTAATAGTGTGCAGAAAAATACTGGTATGCGAGCAAGGCTAAATGCACATTCCACTGAGGCAAGCAGATGAGTATAAGGGCGAAAAGTGATCTGTTTCAACCATATGTTCCCTTTTAAACATTTCATAAAACTATATTGTTATTATGTATATTTTACTTGCATAATCCTTACTCTTGTCCGTTGAGATTGTCACTTCAAGAAAGCTAGTTGTATACTCTGAAATTCTCACGTGCTTTGTAGTGGAATAAAGAACGAAACAAATAAAAGTAGATGAATAGAATTAATTCCATGGTTACAATGGTTGCTTGGCTGCTATCATATAAAAGCGTTGCGTAACATGAGGCGTGTAAGGAAATAACTAGAGAGCAATAACGAATAAAGCCAGGTTGGTATACTGCTACACTCAATCTTATGAAGCACACAAAATTTGTTTTTCCTAGGAACCTGTTAACCTTTCATACTGCAAAGCCACAAAGCTAATATAACGGAAATTTTTTGTATAAATTCTTAGCCAGGAAAATTACTGGAGTTGTGCTTAATCTGCCTGGGCTGGTTACACTTTTCATTTCGTGGGATGGTAGGCTTCCGCCAAAAATACTAGCGAAAGTTCCGTTAATATGTACTAAATCAGTATAAAATTCGTGAGCTAAAGGTGTCGCTCAACGTTAATGATAATAAAGTGCTTTACTAAAAGATGGAGGTCGGTTACTTGTCGGTACAAACTTACTCGGTATTAAAATTTTACACATGAATTATGTGACAATTCAGCGGAGATTACAATCAATAGTCTAACTAGACGTAAACAAAGCAGAAGCCTGAGAGTAAACATGAATCCAAAGAAATTGCAGTGTAC